AATAATAATAATAATAATAATAATAATAATAATAATAATAATATTACTACTAATTATTAAATTATCATCATTATTAATTATATTATCTTAATATTAAACTCTATAGCTTATTAAATAATCCCTATAAATTAAGGACACCCACCAACGCGCTCAGACACACCTCCACATAAGGACACACCAAAATAAAATAACACCAAAAAGACTAAATAATTAAAATGGGTGTTACACAGCTCCCAAATCCTTCATGTCGAACTCCTTATTGAGTTTAGCCTTCACCCTCATTACATTTTCGATATTGTTGCTTGCTATTAGAATATCATCCACATAAAGCAACAAAATAACAAATGAATTACCAGGTCGAAATATGAAGTAAACACAATGGTCGAACTAACTTCTAATGAAACTTATGCGTACCATGAACTTGTCGAATCTCCTATTCCACTGTTGAGGAGATTTTTCCAGTCAATATAAAGATCTATTCAGTTTGCGCACATAATCTTCCTTCCCTTTTTCGACATACCTTTCAGGTTTCCTCATAAGGATTGTTTCATCTAGATCACCATACAAGAGTGCAATATTCACATCCATCTGTTCTAGTTCAAGGTTGAACTTTGCCACTATGGAAAACAACATTTGCATGGATCTGTGCTTCACAAAATGAGAGAACACATCATTGAATTCGACACCTTATTTCTGAGTGAACCCTCTAGTGACCAATCTTGCCTTGTATCTCTTCGATGTTACTCCTTCGATCCCTTCCTTAACTTTGAAAATCTATTTACAGCTGACTAACCTGGCTCCAATAGGTTTCTTGATCAGTTCTCAAGTGTTGTTATCATGAAGAGATTTCATCTCATCATCCATGGCCTTCAGCCATCCAGTCTTCTTTTGACTCCTCATAACTTCCTTATAGTATCTAGATTCTTCGTCTAGAACCTCACTTGCAGAGATTAAGGCATAAGCTATAAGATATGCATACCCAAGTCTTTGAGGTGGCTTGATGACTCTCATCGACCTGTCTCTTGCTAGTAGGCAGTCATTATTAGTCTCCTCATCTTCGACAACATCTTCCGCGTCTTCTTCGACTTCATCTGAGATACGCAATTTAGCATCAACATGCTCCACCTCAACAGGAATCTCTCTCTGTTCCAGCTCTTCGTCAGCATCATCAGTTTTTTTAAAAGTCATCTCTGCTTCATTGAAAACTACATCTCGACTGGTGATACACCTCTTGTGACCTGGCTCTAGGAACCATAGCCTATAAGCTTTGACTCCTTCAGGGTATCCCACGAACATGCATTTCAGAGCTCTAGGTTCAACCTTGTCTTGCCTAATATAAGCATAGGTCATGCAGCCAAATACTCTCAGTCTGTCGAGACTAGGTAGGTGTCTCGACCAAACTTCTTCAGGTGTCTCTATTCCCAAGGCAGTCGATGGACATCTATTTATCAGATAGGCTGCTGCCGAAACAACCTCTGCCTAAAACACCTTCTTCAATCCAGCACTAACCAACATGTATCTAACCCTTTCAAGGATTGTTCGATTGAATCTCTCAGCTAAACCATTTTGTTAAGGAGTACCTGCTATAGTCTTATGCCTTGTAATCCCAAACTCAACACAGTAACTGTCGAACGCTTCGTTGTAGAACTTAAGGCTATTGTCGATTCTCAACCTCTTAACCTTTCTTCCAGTTTGAGTTTCGACCAGAACCTTCCAACTTTTGAAATTCTCAAAAGTTTCATCCTTTGTCTTCTGGATGAATACCCATAGCTTTCTGGAATAGTCATCAACGATGGATAGAAAATACCTTGCACCTGAGTGTGAAGGATTCCTTACAAGCCCCAAAAGATCAGCATGAATGTAATCCAGGGATCCATGTGTTCTTTGCTTGCCTTTGTTAAACTTCTCCCTACAGGATTTACCAAATACATAAGATTCATAAAACTCCAACTTTTCGACTTTGTCACCTCCTAGCAGGTTCTGGTTCCCTAATTCGACCACGCCTTTTTCGCTGACATGGCCCAATCTCATGCGCCATAATTCTATCTTCAACATAGGTTTCGTGGATGCAACATTTTTCGAACCACTTACATCCTCAGCCTTAAGGGTATACAATCATTGTTTCTTCACGCCTCTCAAGACTTCCTTCGACCCCTTCATGACTCTTAGGATACTTTTCTCTTCTTGAAAAACATATCTCTTCCTGTCGAATTCACCAAGAGAAATCAAATTTCTCTTCAAATCAGGTACATACCTGACTTTAATCAATAACCTCATTGACTCATCATGGAGCTTGAATCTCACAGATCTAGTGTCTGCAATTTTTCAAGATTTGTTGTTTCCCAGCAGCACCGATGCACCATCTTGATCACATAGCTCCTCGAACAATTCTCTGTTTGGAGTCATGTGCCAAGTGCAACCTGAATCCATAATCCACTCTTTTCTTGAGTCGCCACTTGAAACCACAAGAACATCATATGAGTCGAAGTCATCTTGAACAATGGTTGTGTTGCCATTATCCTTATCTACATGATCTTTCAGGCGTTTAGGGCACACCTTTCTTGTGTGACCCTCCTTCTTACAATGATAACATCGAATATCAAATGCTTCGCCACTATAAGACTTATGCGAACTTTTACCTTTCTTCTTGTCGAACTTACCATCCTTTCGTAGGAATTTTCCCTTAACGACCAAACCTTCGCCCATTGTCGAAGGTTTATGCTCCTTTTGTTCATTCAAGTCCTTAAAATACAAGGTTGATCGAACTTCTTCAAAGCTCAGGGACTCCCTTCTATACAAGAGAGTTTCTTTGAAGTGAGCATGTGTTATGGGCAAAGCATACAACAACAACAATGTTTGACATTTATCATCGATCTTCACATCAATATTTTCAAGATCAAGAATCAACTTGTTGAACATATCCAACTGCTCAGCCAACACTTTGTCTTCACTCATCTTGAATAAATGCAAAGCTTGCTTCAGGTAGAGTCAATTCACCAGAGGTTTGGTCATGTACAAACTTTCAAGTTTCACCCATAACCCTGATGCTGTAGTCTTCTTTGATACCTGTTGAAGAACCTTATCACCAAGGCTCAATAATATTGTGATGTGGGCTTTCTCAATCATGGTCGTCTTTTCTTTTGTCGTTAATGCAACATTCATTGCTGCCTCTTCCGTCAACGCTTCCAAACAACCCTGCTGAACCAGTAGGGCTTTCATCTTCAAGCGCCACAGGCCGAAGTCCTTCACTCTAGTGAAATTTTCAATCTTATACTTTGTTGACGACATCTTCTCCACGCTCACCACACCAATTTTTTGTGAATATAATGCCTTGAAACAAAATATAAATGATTTCTTTATATTCAAGGAACACACAAGGGTTTGGATTAACAAAAAAACAAGCAAGAAGAAACAACAAGGATTAGTTATAAACTGATATTCTTTCCTTTCTCTATCAAACAAGATTACAAGTATACAAGAATAACAAATAACCTCTCTCTCTCTTGAATTAGGATTTTATATTTCTATTTTTCCTTATACAAGATGAGAGACTAGCATGCTATTTATAAGAAAAATAACACACTAAGCTAATGGTTTTTTTAACAATTACCCATTACAAGCTAACTTAAACAATTGGGCTTACAAGTAAGACCTAATTCAACATGCTAACAAACCTAGCAATATTGACTAATGCATGTTAGAACAAACTTCGACTACAACACGCATTACTCTGACATCATACTAGAGTTCGATCCAATATCTCACACATACAAATACACAATCAAACAATAATCGAATTGTAAAACATCTAAACACAAATTGATACTAAAATACGTAAATGATACCAAATGATACTATGTGCTTTAAGTTTACAAGAAAGCATGTATGTGAAGTGACTGTAAATGTCATTGTGCAGACATAATAAAGACAAACTTTAACAATAAAAAAACTTGAACTAAAACAAAAGAACACTGTGATAAATGACGTTAAATAAATGCAGTTAATGAAATAAATATTAAAGTGTTTCAATTAAGGAAACATAGACAATAAAACAAAAGAGACACAAGCTCATATGTGACTCACAAATTATTTCGCACTTTGACTTGGATACATCAGTTCTATAGAGAAAATATATGAATTTTGTGACCTCGATTACAATATATGAATATGCTATAGATACTAAATTAAAGATAACCGTCTCTGCTCTTCTAAGGTGATTGCTGACAGCGCTAAAACCCCTCTCAAGTCTTTAGTTTTCTAAAAAGTTTTTCAGTTTTTTATGTCAGTCGAATGCTTCAACTTCGACATGGTGTCGAGTGATCAGTTGGATCTATTCCCGAGACTCTTCTAAATTATGTCTCAAAATCTGCTCTTGAGATTCTTCTAGATTCTAATTTAAAATGATAGACGAAACGCTCCGATCGACATATCAATTCCTATCAACTTGTGTCAATTAATACTAACACTTAGCATTTTCTCAATGCAACATCCAATTTACTTTTATCAAATAAAAATTTCAGGCTAACGGTTACCAATATGATTCTTATCATCATATGATATATAATTAGGGTAATATGGTGGAGCCACTATGAGTAAGAGGAATGCCTAGAGTAAACCGTGATCAGAATGTGGAAGCTAGACCAGATGGAAATGGGGACCAAGGTAGATCGTGATCTTAAAATATATTATCAAATCTTTTATGTTCAAATAATATTTCGGAACTAAATATTTCTTTCTACAACCAATTTTGTTTCTACACATAAAATTTCAAACTGTCTTACTATGTGGTCTAGATTGTCTCTTCTTTATGTATGTCACTCCAACAACCCGTGACATCTCAAACTTCTGTCATTCATCCACTTTTTTACATATAACACATTTCTCTCTTTCTCTCTCATATATATATATATACCAAATCACCAACTAATTTCTAATAGCACTTGAACTTCCAAAAAACAACATTCTCCATCATTATTAATTTTCACATTTTCTCTCCAAGAATGTCAAAAAAGCATTACAGTTTCAGCACATTAACATTTCTTCTTGTTTTAGTGCAAAATCTAAGCACAATAGAATGTCATTCAAAGGGAATTCGACCAATACATTCAACAGGAAACGGTTTAGCAACCAATAATACAACAAGAACAGAGTTATCAGAACAACAGTTCATGAAATGGGTGAGTTTTGTTGGTGGTCTCAAACACACAGTTTTCAAGACTGCAAAAAACAAGCTCTTTGCTTCATACACTTTGCACGTTGATAAGAATCCTTCTTTTGGAGATTTCACTACAATTCAAGATGCCATTGATTCTCTTCCCCCTATCAATCTTGTTAGAGTTGTCATCAAAGTTCATGCAGGAGTTTACACGTGAGTACTACTCCTTTTATCTCATTTTCCCTTGTTTATGATGTGGTTGTGTGTTTCTAAGTTTTGTGTGTGGTTTGTTTTATGGGTAGGGAGAAAGTTAACATTCCTCCATTGAAATCCTTCATAAGCATAGAAGGAGATGGAGCAGATACAACCATTGTTCAATGGGGTGACACTGCTCAAACACCAGGTCCAAGAGGGACTCCAATGGGAACATATGGTTCAGCAACTTTTGCTGTTAATTCACCTTATTTCATTGCTAAGAACATCACATTCCAAGTATGTCAACAAAACCACACTTTCTATTTTTGTATAGAGACGAAAAAATACAAAACCCATTTCTAATTTTATCACAAAGTATTAGAGGAACTCAAGCTTGCCATAAGGATTCTACACATTCACACCGTCAGCACATTAGTGACGGTTGAATCAAGATTTACAATTAAGTTTAGTCTAGACTGTACAATCTCATTCAACAACTACTAATGTGCTGACGGTAGAGAATTCAAATTTGTGTTAGTATCAAATTTAATAATCCCAAATTTTTTGTGTGAATGTAGAACACATTTCCTGTTCCTGCACCTGGAGCAGTTGGAAAACAAGCAGTAGCATTTAGAATTTCAGCGGACACAGCATCATTCTTAGGATGCAAATTTTTAGGAGCACAAGATACACTTTATGATCATCTTGGTAGACATTACTATAAAGATTGTTACATCGAAGGCTCTGTTGATTTCATCTTCGGCAATGCTCTCTCCCTCTTTGAGGTTAGTTACATTTCTCTACCCTTCCATACACACGAGTTTATCAGTACTAGTACTGTCAGTTAATCGTAACCGTCAGATGATCATCAGGAATGTCACGTGCACGCGATAGCGAGAAATACAGGAGCACTAACGGCACAAGGAAGGAGTAGTATATTACAAGACACAGGATTCTCATTTGTGAACTGTAAGGTCACGGGTTCAGGGGCACTGTACCTTGGAAGAGCTTGGGGTCCTTTTTCACGAGTTGTGTTTGCTTATACAAATATGGACAATATCATCATTCCTAAAGGATGGTATAATTGGGGTGATCCTAACCGTGAAATGTAGGTATCTTTATTTTCTTCCTCTCTTTATCTCTTTCTTTATCAATCAATGTCACACATTAGCATAGTATATGGGAAAATTGATTGAAAATGACTATATAGTTTTTTAACGCTTCTTTTATAATATATTTTTGTGGGAAAATGTTATCCAAAAGATAGCACTTGTATGGTCCAATATTTGTTATTTTTAAATGAATAAACAAATTATAGGAGCTCTATGCTAGTACCACTTTTGAGGGAAAATGATAAAAATAAATATACAGAGAATATTCTAGCCATGATGTAATACTAAATACAGAGAATGTTTTGTCCACTAAACTTGATGGCAGAATTGTTAGTGTAGATAAGATAAAACATAGCACTATGAACATAGTGTCTGAAAAGTAAAAAATACAATATTGGCATGCTAATGGATAGGTTTATAATATATTGGTTGTCATGTTTTATTTATTTCTTTAATTATGTCTATACTAAAACCACTATTATAGGACTGTGTTCTATGGACAATACAAATGCACAGGACCAGGAGCAAGTTTTGCAGGAAGAGTATCATGGTCAAGAGAACTCACTGATGAAGAAGCTAAACCTTTTCTTTCACTTACCTTTATTGATGGGACTGAATGGATCAATTTTTAGTCTAATCTTACACATTAATTATTTACTAATTTTTTAAAATATATGTAAATTTATAATATACAAATTTTATCTAATAGTGCCTTTATGAAAACTAGCGTCTAAATGGGTACTCTCGTGTTTGTTTGTTCGTATTTTTTATTTTGATTATGCGTTAAAATATAAATTGGTATTTTTTTTTTAAATTTTGTGATATGTATTCATGTGCTTATTTGTTCACTTTTAGTGCGCACTTATAAAATAATAAATAGTATTTTTTAATTTAATTTAATTTTAAATATTTATGTCATTCATACATGTTTTTCATATATATTTTATTATAAAATTACTTATGCACAATTATTAGAATTTAAATTAAATTCATGTATGCTCTTTTTTAAAAAAAAAACATATAATATTTTCTTAGTTAAACGTCTCTCTATTTACCGTTATATTATAGTCAAAGATATAACTTAAAGTTTTCTTTTAACTATACAGTATTTATAAAAGGTAAGATTGAAATAATAATAGTTCATATCACATATGTAGTTATATAGATTATATAAATGAAATGTCATTTTAGCATAATTCATACATGATATGAGAAGGGAAGTAGTTACATCCATATATTTGTTGCATAAATAGTAAACATATATAGAATGTGTGGTCTTTTTGTCCATTTGTTCTATTCAATTTTGTTTATTCAGTTATTTTTTTTCCCGCAATAATTCAGTCATTAAAATTAGTTTTGTTTGTACAACTCAAATTACACAACATATAACTATATATGAAACAACCATTTAAATTATATATGAAACAATGATTTAAAATATTTTATTTGTTGTGATTTTGTGTGAATATAAAAGTGACAAACACAATTGATGATACCATACTCTTATTATTTGTAACAAAATACTCTTATTGTTTGCAAAAGAACAAAAATAAAATAGCAAAAAATAAAGAAAAGATAAATTTAAAGATGAAATCGGAACAAAGTGGTAGAAAAAGAGTTATAAAAAAAATATAATAAAGATACTCTCATTTCTTTGTTACAATATTTTTGAATAATTGCGCAATTGATTGTTTTGTGACCCACCTAAGTGTACATATACATGAATGAGTCAGTTTTTTCTTAATTGCTCGATATAATATATTTGAGATGACAACACAATACAAATCTTCTATTGTTAGTTTAGAAGAAATATAACCACGTGAAGAATCAAGTTTAAATGAAGAAATCAAGAAAATCCATTTTTCCTTCTGTTCCATATGAAATCTATAAATCTCAAGAAAAAAAAATATAAAGTTAACCATTAACACTAAAAAAACATTTAAAAAAAGAAAAAGATAAAGAAGCATTTTCTACCATGGAGTGACTGCTATTGTGTTGCAACAATTTCTTTATCTTTTGATTTTTTCTTGACAATCTATTGCAGAGAAAATGACGCATTTTATTTCTCTGATTCCTTCATCTTATAGGAGGATATTTCCATTATCTAACCAAAAATGGTTAAACATTATAAAATAATAATAACAAACCATTGAAAAGAGAAAAAACAATAATTCAAAATCAAATATTACAGTGAAATAAAGGAAAAGAAAAATAAGTAAAAAATAAAGGGGAAGGTGGAAGAACATGTGTTACCATTTTGTGTGAAAAAACATAACTAATATTCTGCATCTACATGAATGTAGCAAATAAGTAAATAAACTCAACCGTCTCAACAACAACGATGCAAATTGGAAGCAAATTGATTAATAATCAAACAAAAACAAAACTTGCACAACAAAAATAATACGTTAAAAGTTACAAAATTAAAAGATAAATTTAAATTTTAATTGAACAATTTTGTTTTAACATCAAAACAGTCAATTAAAAAACCTGAAATCAAAGAGATAAAGTGATTAGATAGAGAAAAAAAATTATCCATTCAATCTTTATTTTCCTTTATGAAGTTTATATTTTTATAAAGTTATATTTTTCTCTCTTCCTTATAACTTCCATATAGTTATTGCATGTCTCTATTCTCTCTTTCACACTAACCTCTAGGCGGTTATTGTATGGGGAAGTTATTTAAATTAAAGCTTTGAATTGTAAAATATGAAGTAAGTGAAGGGTAATTAAAAAATATAAAATAAGTCATACTAAAATTGTGTATTCCTTTTATAGATAGGTATAAATTATAGTTGCACTATGCCAAAAATGGCCTTTAGCAGCGCTTTTTTTGACCTTTAGCAGCGCTGCCTAAAGTGGCGCTGCTAAAGGTAAAGGCAGCGCTTTTTTGTGTGGAAAAACCGCTGCTAAAGGCATCACTTTTAGCAGCGCTTTTTTACCCCTTTAGCAGCGCTTTCAAAGCGCTGCCTATTCTCCCTCTCCCTCCCCCCTGTAGCAGCGCTTTATGAAAGCGCTTTTGTAGACCACCCTTTAGCAGCGCTTTTTTAAAGCGCTTTCTTAGACCCCTCCTTTCCTAACCTATAGCAGCGCTTTTTTATGCCTATTTTTCTCCCTTTAGCAGCGCTTTCTTGTAAAAGCGCTGTCTATACTTCATGTTTTTAAATTTTTTTTTTTTTGAAAAATCATATTTTTTTATATATTTTTAGACA